TTTTCAGTAACATGGTTTTCGTGTAATTTGTAAGAAACGTGATCATATGCTCATATGATTGGTTGGATCATATGTACTGTACATCGATTTGGTCAGTGGACTTTATGCAGAATCTATTGTAGTGCAATAATGCTAGCTGAGTTTTTCATAGTGCCAGTACGTATGAAATTTACATGAAATTCAAGTTACTGAAATTTACGCAAAATTACATGAAATGTAAAATTGTAATTTTTGTAATGCAACCCTATGCGTAATTGATTTTCATCTGTATATCCTTTTTTGGGTCCTTAAAGCGGGCAGATCACGTTTTATGCCGTTTTTCCCAATTTTAGCGTTAGGGACAAAATTTGGATTAGGATTAAAGGTGTTTATATAAGCATATCGGCGGATTTAGTTAATTGGGCCTATATCGATATATTTACTTTTCGCTAAAAATAACGAACGATAGTTAATTTAACGGTAATGACTAGTGATCCGAATCGTTTAGTTGAAAATCAATTAGTTGACAACTTTCCAACTAATCGATTTAGAAAATTCTTCATTGTATCAAAAGTTCACTATAACAAGAGTGAGCTGTATTTGGATAGACTAGTTCTTTTAGTTATTTAACTCGTGAGTATATTTTAGAACTCTACAATCGTTTATAGTCTCATTCAAATTATTTATTTGTGTTAATTGGTTCATGAATGCAGATTCGTTTATAAATCCAATTACATCAGAAGCTTGCTATAACGAACTTGAACTGTAAAATTTTCAATTCTGTGTATTCAATGATTCAGTGCAATTTTATAATTTAATTCAAGTTTTACAATTCATTTTAAATCCGTTCGCGATTATTATTTAGAAATCAAGTTTATCTTTAGAATATGATTAACTATTTATTATGGGCTAATAATAGTGATTTTGTCTCTTAAAAAACAATTAATTAATTAAAATTCAAAAAAAATAATTGATAAAAAACAGAAAAATATAAAGATTGAAAAACAATTCAAATTTCCGGAGAATTGTAAGGTCGGAAGATCATGTGACTGCGCCCTTGATTGGTGGTAATGCTGAGACTTTTGTTTAACGGGGTCTGTCATAACGAAGATAAAGTGTATTCAACAAAGTAAAAGAATCATATCTAAGTAAAATTATACTATATAATTAATAACAAAATAACAAATAATTGATTGAATATATTTTAAGATTCCATGACCATTATTATTTAGAAAAAATTACTTGATATGGCAAGATTAATTTTAAAAATTAATTTTAAAAATCACTTTAATTTTTATAATGAATTTTAACTATTTTCGGGGTTGGTAGCAGGAATTTTTGGAATTTTTGGAACTGGTGGCAAGTTGTGAAGAAGACGTTTGACACTCTCCATCTCTGCTTGACTTAATACAATTCTTCTTACTTTAAAGATCTTGCTATTTTTATCTTCTTTCTTATCTGTCTCTTCTCTTCCACGCGTAATAAGACCAATTGAACCAAAGTAATGATATAAAGACCCTTCATAAAAGCGTTTAAATATTTATTAAGCTTGTT